CCCAGGTCCCTTTCTCTTACACTGCTCTCCACCCCTCCTCCAGCTAAAGACAGCCTCTTTCCTTTTTTGGTTTTGTTTTTCCCCCTCTTCTTGAGAGAGTGAAGAGTGTTTTTAGCCTCTGCCCACACTGAAATTTTCAATGAAGTGTTTTAATTCTGGGATATTGGAGTCTGCGTTGTCTCTTAGACTATTATTGAGCAAACTCGGAAATTATCCACTCCAGAGGAAAAATGATATGGTATGTTTCTCAGCGATGAATCTTCAGCCTAAATGTGCTCTCAGTTTCAGTGATGTTTTGAGGCAAATTGATCTGTACGGGCTGCAGCACAAAATCTCTAATATGTATGTGCTGGACCTTGCTTGTCTCAAAATGTTAGCTTGTCATAAATACTGCAGAGAGGAAAATATTTGTTAATAAATTTAAATCTAAAAATGAACAGATTTTCAGAAAGGAAGAGTTTGACTTGTAAGCTCATATTCAGTAAACGGTCAGTTACCTGTGCTGAAATAAATTTTGAAAATTGATGGTTAAGCAAGCTGGTGACAATTCTACAAAGAAACATAAGTTTTTTTGTTACAGAAAATTAATATTACTGTGACAAAGTAATGCCAGCTTCTTTTCAGCTAGTTGGTATTTGTGATGATTAAGTTTCTGGTGTGAAAACTTTACTACGAAGAAGTTTTTGAGCTGTTGCAAGCTGACGGTTCTTCAAAGGTGATGCACATTTGTAAGTTTTACTGGGTTTTGGATCAGTTTCTTCTTTTTTTTTCTACTGAGGCAATGCTTGTGATAATAGAGATGATCTGGATTCTATTGTGAATCCTGAATATGTTTTCTTCAGCCTGATTCCCTCTCCTAGCAGTCACCTTCTACAAAAATAAAGATATGAAGGTGTATGGATTTTACCTGATGTAGCTAAAAGCTTTTGAAAATTGTATATGCTCTTCATCTTAAAAAAACCAAAGCATTTGTATTGCATTCAGGACAGTCTTTCAATAACTATCCTAGATTGCTGTCTTTGTCAGTTATATTATGGAAGAATATGAAGCCGAAGTGACCTGTTTATAGCTTGCATTCTTTGTTATGCCTCAGTAATGTTGCTGCAGAACTCTACTGCTCTAGAATTGAAACTTGAATTTTTGAAATGACTTTTGCAAAGGTCTTTTGTATTTTTCTTTTAAAGGGGAAAAATGCTTTATTTCACCTCAAGATATTTACTACAGAGTCTATCCTTTCTTTTCGTATTTAGTTCTGTTTTTTTTAGTTGTTGTTCAATTAAAATTTTATCTCATTTATTTCAAAATCCTCCCTCACATCCTTGGCTTCTTCATAGTGCCTGTTGATATGCGTCTTCCCTTTAGCTTTCATCAACAGCAATTATATTATCAGTATCTATGAAGCCTTTGTACTGTTATGAACTTAAATCCAGCATTGCATTTGAAAGAAATTCAGGAACTAAGGATCAGTATACATGCAAGGTTTCTATATCAATACATGCCAGGTTTGTATAATTCAAATAGTAATGTGTTTTATTTTATTATAACAGTCTATACTGAGTGGTAATGTTTTCCATTGTGTTTGGTACATTCACAGAATTCTTATTTTCTCACTGGAATAACCTAAAGCAAGCCTTTTCCAACAAGAATGAAGCTGTGTTCTTTAAAGTGTATGGAGATATTTAGTAGGGCTGGCGCTCATTCTTTGAGAAGGCTGTTAAAAAAAATAATAATGCCACAATACAAAACCCATCATACAAAACAAGAACAAAGTCAATTCTACACCAATTCCACAAAGACCAACCCTGGAAAACTTTTTAATGTCTTGATTTCCATGTATTCTTCATATACATCTGTTAAATGTTTTTGTAAATTTGTTTGCTTGATTTGAGGCTTCTTTGAGTATTAATACAAAAAAAGGGCATCTGGCAAACAAATGACTGATTCCCTCCATAATCATTGTTTCTTTATTGCACTCTGCTTAAGAAGTGACAGTTTCTTTTTATCTGCAATTAATGTCAGAGATATGTTTAATTTCATATTCATATTTTCATGCCCCTGAAAGGTATTTATGAACAGTTTAGCAAAATTTGACAATCATTCACGTAAATCCTTCTTAATGATAAATCAGATTACATTAATTGTTAAATCACATGGTGGTTTTTTGTTTTGTTTTTTTTTCTTTCTGCATGTGGGCTGCTTAATTATGTATTCTACTACTACCTCGAATTCACTTACATGAAACTAGCTTTCTTAACTCTCAGACTTGCTAAATATCCTTAAATTTTCTAAAGGTGTGAGGGTGATTGCATTTTTTTAGCTGTCTTGTATTTATTACCCATCACTTCTAGACACATGTGTAAGAGAAATATTTCAGTTTCTAGCCTTCTAGTGGTAAGAAACGTGATATTTGTTTATAATATTCCATGCCACATATGGTGGGTTTAGACATTCGTGGTTTTTTTAATTAAATGCTTTAAAAACTATTTTAATTATCTATGTGCTCTTGATCACAACAGAAGCCTGCCTTTCTTATCTCTCTTATTTGAAGAAAAAAAATCTTGCTATGTTTGAAACTAAGTTTCTTCTCCTGAATATTAGTAATGTCACGCTGTATGATTTAATATTTGGATGTTAGGTGTTAAGCATCTCATAGAATCATTAAGGTTGGAAAAGACTTCTGAGATCCTTTTAGTTTGTTTTAAAGATGGATTGATAACTATGTTAAAGTACAAGTGAATTGCTCTTGATTCTGAATCATCTTTGTATTTTGAAATGTATGTGTATGTATATGCATAGTGTTACAGACACGTATGTACTGGGTCTTTATGCAGATTCTAGGGCAACAGATTAATGACTTCACCCTTCCTGATGTTAACCTGATCGGAGAGCATGCTGACGCTGCGGAGCTTGGAAGAATGCTGCAGCTTATTTTGGGATGCGCGGTGAATTGTGAACAGAAGCAAGGTATTAATTTTTTAAAGCATATCTTCTCCCAGGCAGTGGATGAAAATACATCTTGTTGTGTAACTGCTTAGGAGGAAAAATACATTTCTCAGATTGCTGTCAGAGACGTATTTTTTTCAGTGATGACATTATTTTGTCCTACAGGTAGTAACTGTTGTTTTGTTAGACACTTCGCTAGTTACAGTCTCAAACTGTAGAACTAGTTGTGCTGGTTTTGTTTGCCAATCTGAAAAGGCTCTCTACAAAGGAAAGTTCCTGGGCCTACCCTTTAACCATTTATGAGGTAGTTCAGGCTAGTTAAGAATCAAAAAACATGATTGTTACACTATTCCGTGTGACCCGTGGGTTTAGGACTGTGGTGAGCCTCTTACTACTTGGATGAGAACCATCAGTGCACTATTCCGTGTGACCCGTGGGTTTAGGAATGTGGTCAGCCTCTTACTACTTGGATGAGAACCATCAGTATGACTGGGATTAGTCTGAAGATATGTCTGGTGTGATTTGGGGTTCTGTAGTTACTGAGACTTTTAAATGGGGTTGGCAAATCAGAAAAAGTAATATTCTCAACCATGCCCTTTTGGTCAGCAGCGGAAGACTGACCGTGATACCTTAAGGGCATTCTAAATGTCACTTGAGGCATCTATTAAGTGATTGAATCCCACTTCAGCAGTTGCCGAAGGAGACTTCTGTCTCTCTTGACTCCCATGGCAGCGACTATCTGACCTGCACACATAAACTAGGGACCAATTAATTTTTCCTGCAGGTGACATGTAGGATGTGATGAACAACAGAGACGAAGTGTTAAGGCTTCCCAGATCTCATGCTCTAAACTTGCCTTTGGTGCAGGGTATCTTATTATTACCCAGTTAATTAAAATTACTGTTAATTGAAGCCAGGTTAAGAGAACAAAGCAACTACAGACATTTATTCTTAACACTTAAAACAGAAAGCATAGAAACTTATTTATAAAATATGTATGTGGGTAAATAAAGCTGTTTTTACATTAAAGTCACATCAAATATCTGTCTCTTCTTGATGTAACTCATTTTGGTTTCCTTTCTGACAAAATATCAACTAAGGTTTCAGACCTATGGTTTTCTTCTTGCATGGTGCATCTGTGCTTTTCTAGGTAGTTTCCACCTTTCCAATTTTCTCAGGTGTCTGACTTACTTTCATTTTCCCTGCTGAAATTACATTTATTCTTCCCCTAACTGGGAGGCATTCTGGCTATTCTGTTAGTTAAACTAGCGGTAATTTTCTTCTGTAAGTACATAAATAACTCTATTTTATTAGGCCTCCTGCCCTCTCTGTTTTATGTAAAGTTATTGTCCTCCTTTTGGTGACTATTTGGCATCTTCAAGTGAGAAGTATATCTTATTCTTGTGTTTCTCTTACACTTTCAGTCTGGACATTAAAAATGTACATGCTTGAAATATTTGTGTAGTGTGAGTGAGACTCGAGGTAGCTGTTTCACAGCATCTTTCTCTTGGGCAAATCATTAAAAGAATACAGGTTGCATGTAAAGATGATCGTATCTGACTGGAAACCATATGATACTGGGAAAGCCGTAAACTCTGTGATATAAGCTGAATGTCAGAATTAGTCCTTCTAACCACTGTACCATCCTAAAAGGTACCTGTTGTGTAGCTCATACCTACACGTAAGTGAGAAGTTAAAAAGTGAAGGTTATTTATTTGTGATATAGCAAAGAAATCAGAATGGAAACCAATCAGAACAGGTACAAAAATGCCTTGAAATGAGGATGCTGTAGGAAGACAGGACCTTGTTAAACTGGTGGAAAGGACTTGTGCATACAGTCTGAATAGTTTGGAAACAAAGTGAGAAAAGGAGTATAAATAGTTTTTTCTAGAAGTGTGAGATGCAAGAAGGAAAAAAATGAATTAAAATCATGTACTTTTTTCATTGTTGCAGAGTTTCAGTGAGCCCGAATTTAAGTCTGAACAGATGTCTGATAAGTCTTGTTCAATTTGCTGATGATTATGCATTTTAGTGTCATCTGTGGCACTTAAGCATCTTACAGGAGGGATTCAGCTTCTGACCTCATGTTCTGTGTGACTTGAGTTTCAGCAGTAACATTTCAGAATGCCTTTATTTTCAGAGTACATCCAGACCATAATGATGATGGAAGAATCGGTTCAACATGTTGTCATGACAGCCATTCAGGAGGTATGGTGGGATGCCCACAGTGTGTTCAGCCTTTCAGTATTTTACAGAAGTATGCTTCTTCCACTTTGGAAAAACTTAGCTGAAAGTAAACAAAATAAGTGGCATAGATTTTGCCATTTTACATTGAAAAACATCCTTTCCTTAGAAAAACAAATCAAGAAAGCTAGCTTTATGTCATGGAACTCTGGTTCAATGTCCCACTTTTCTTTAAATCTAGAAGACTGAAACTTCTAGATATTTTTGATAATGGATTCCCTTTCCTTTAACTTTCCTACCCTGTGGCTCCTGAAGTGCACTAGACTGCTTTTATATGAGTAAGCAAATACTATAGAATTTCTTCAAAATTTGTACCTTGAAATTGCAAAACTGTATTAAATCTGTTTTTTAAGATTTTTTTTAAATTGGAGAAGTGAAAAGAGAGGGAAATATATATCAGAGTATTCTTTTGTCAGCTGTAGTGTTATGAATCGGCTAATGAAGGTGTTTGTGCTAATAATTTTTACAAGTTAGTATACTGCATAAGTACTGTTCAGTAATAAATTAAAACCACAGTGAAAATTAAATCACAGTGTTAGTGACCGCTATAGCCAAGAAATGTGTCTTCTTAGGAGCCCAAAGTGCCTTTAAGTGAAGTGACTGTTGGTCTCCCCATATGGCAGTTTGCTGCAGGGCAGACCACTAAGGAAAGCAGGAAATCACTGGTAATCCTTTCTTCTGAACCTGAGCAATAGAAGCTAAATGAACATTTAGCTCTAGAGCAATTTTACTTTTCTGTATGTCTGAATAGAGGAAGGGATGTCAGTGAGCCTACAGGGGCCCCATCCTCTATCATCACTGACCAATTCTGTGTCCATGCCGTCATATATCCTGTTATCTGTGGACTACTTTCTGTAATGTTGCAGAGAGTCCTTTTGAAATGACCACTGAAAAAATCCTTGTGCTAAATCATCTTCCAGTCAATGATGCCAAGCACCAGTTTGCTTGGGTTTTGGAATATTTTACTTTTGCATTCCTTTCAGCTGTAATACAATGTTTTGGTGGATTTTTCTAAGGTTCTCTTTTATTAATCTCAACTTTCAGCATCATGTTGTTCTGCTTTGTCTTAAGATAGAAAACATTCTCTTATCTTCCTGCTTTTTCTTGAAAATACCCTGTTCAATTTTTGTGAAAATCTCCTTTATTTGTTTATACAGCAGATGTGAAGTAGCCCACAGTTTTACCATTTCATGAGTAAGCACTGAACTTGTTTGAACTTGTTCAGTGTTTGTACCCTTAGAGATGGAGAGAAGTGGGGATGTATGGAATGAGGGTCTGTTCTTTTCAAACAGATCTTTGAAACTCAGGGAATCAAAAAGCTTACTGTTCAGGTACTGGTGCAGTTCAGAAGAGGTCAGAAAGTGTCTCAAAAACTTTGAGGGGACCTTGTTTTTTTAACGGTCTTAGGAGTCTGGAGATGTCCCAGTTAACTGGAAGCAGGCAAAGATTGTCACAATTTTCAAAAAGGGAAGGAAGGAAGACCCTGGTAATTGGCAGGCCTGTCAGGCTCACTTCAGTGCCTGGCAAAATCATGGAGAAGATATTCTGGAAGTTACTGAAGAACATTTGAGAGATAATGCAGTCATTGGTCTTAGGCAGCATGGGTTCGCAAGGGGAAGGTCCTGCTAAGTTAGTTAACTTAATTTCCTTTTATGATGAGGTCTCCCATCTAGTTGACCAAAGGAAGCCTGTAGGCTTTTTGTATTATGGCAAATCTTTTGATACTGTCTGTCACATTATCCTTCTGGACAAAATGTCCAGCATACATTTGTACCAGTCCATTATACATTAGATGGGCAATTTACTGATGGGTTGGGCTCAGAAAGTTGTAGTAAATGGGCCTACAACAAGCTGGTGGTCAGTTGCCAGTGGGGTTTCCCAGGGGTCAGTTTTAGGGCTAGTGTTCTTTAATGTTTTTATGAATGATCTGGATGCAAGAATTGAATGTACATAAATCAAGTTTGCCAGTGATACTAAACTAGGAGAAGCTGTGAGTGGCCTGATAGGGAGATCTAGATAGACTTAAGAGCTGGGCAATCACCAGCTGTATGAAATTTATCAAGAGCAAATGCTGGATTCTCCACCTGGGGTGGGATAATTCTGGTTATATACACAAACTGGGAGATGAGAAGCCGGTGATCAGCCCCAGAGAAAGAGATCTGTGGTTTGGGTTGATACATGAGTCAACAGTGTGCTGTGGCAGCCAAAAGAGCCAACTGTGTCCCAGGTGAATTAAGCACAGCATAGCTAGCCCATCAAGGAAGGTCTTTGTCCCATTCCACATTGCACTGGTGCAGCCCCACCTTGAGTACTGTGTGTAGTTTTGGGCCACTCAGTATACGAACATCAGACTATTAAGAGTGTGTCGCCATGGTGAAGGGTGTTGAGGGCAAGACTTACGAGAAGCAGATGAGGTCACTTAATTTGTTCACCCTGGAGAAGAGAAGGCTGAGGGGTGACTTCACTGCAGTCTACCACTTTCTCAAGTCGGTCAGTGGAGTCAGAGGTGCTTATCTCTTCTCCCTGGTGACAAGTGATAGGACACAAATAAATGGAATGAAGCTCTGTCAGAGGTAGTTCAGATTGGGCATTAGGAAGAGGTTCTTTGCTGAGAACGTGATCGGTCACTGAAACAGGCTGTCCAGGGAAGTGATCATGGCACCAAGCTTGTCAGAGTTCAAGGAGCGTCTGTATGATGCTCTTAGTTACATGGTTTAATTTTAGGTAATCCTTTGAGGAGCAGGGAGTTGGATTTATGGGTCCCTTCTAATTTGAAATATTCTGAGATTCCAACAAGCATTTAGTTCCAGAGAGCCTGTTTGGAGCTGCACCTGCAGTTTGTGTCTTTGGAGGGCTGAAACTTCACTGGATTTAAGGAGGTTTCAGTATTTCTTTAACTCGGAACAGCTCTCAGAATTCAACTGATTGGACTAAGCAATAGGTAGTATACATGAAAATGAAGTGCCTGGGAAAGTAGCTGTATACATATTTGAAAAGTTACATCGCCTAATCCAAACATTTTAAGCCATTTGACATGTGGGTACTCTTTATTCAAGATAGGTATGTAAAAACACCTATGTGAGTTTTATTGATATATTAGGTAATTAATTTTTCTGTTTCAGCTGAGCGCATATAAATGGTTTTGGTTACTTCTTTAATTTTCGTAAATCATCTTACGACGATATTTCATGGGGCACAGCAGAACAAGCCTCTGCCTTGTTTTCTCTGTTTTTGCTTGAAGGAGCTGATTTTTAAACAGAAGGAACGTTTTCTGTTTTAAATTTGATTTTTTTAATTCCAATTATTTATTAACTTGTGACTCTTCAGCATTTTCTTTCTTCACTTATTTAAATGTTTAAAATGAAATACTACTAATAAAGTATGCCTCATTCTCCATAAAGGTTTTATAAACCGAACAGTGCTTTTCTGTTATTTTTTCAGTGCTGTCAAGTTGACCTGGTGTGTTTACCATCACCTAGATTCTTAGATTATAATCTGCAGATGTGCATTTCTAGATGCAACGTGTGCACAAGCAGAGGAAGAGCAAGAATGATATAGCTATAAAAAAAATGATTAAAATATTGCATATAGTTATGAATTAAGTTTTGTATGTCCTGTAATATATACCGTAATCTGGTTATGTTATTATAATTTATTGCTTAATAAAGCTTACACTCTACATTTCATAATCTGCAGATTTTTTTTAAAGGCCAAAAATCTTTCGTTACAGAAATAATTCTTGGTATTATGCATTCCATTTCCCTTTCTTGTCAGCCTTTGGAAATTCTGCTGTCATTTTCCCAAGTCTTTGATTTGAGCAGCCAAATTAATTAGAGCGTGGTGCTGATAACACCAAGGTCGCGGGTTCGATCCCCTTTCGGTCCCCATGTGTTGCCTGATCTAGTTGAGAGACGTCCCTGCCCATGACAGGGAGGTTGGTCTAGATGATCTCTAAGGTCCCTTCTAGCCCAGGCCATTCTATGATTCTATGATTATTGATGAAAATGGTAGCTGGGGAAATTGTTTGTCTTTGCCATTTAGAACATCTCTAAATTTAGCATGTGTCTATGCAAATCACGTTGAGAGTCAGAACAGGCTCTTTGCAGTGAAGTACTAGAGGTAGTGCCAAAACTTGTCTGGGGTGCACAGTACTTTCTGTATGGATTAATATAAACTGTGTTACTTCCATGAAGTAGAAACTGGTTTTGTGTCCTGACTGTTTAAAGGTTCATCTTTTCTGAAGCAAAAGTGGTTTTTCAATAGCTAGGAAATTACAGAAAAGTATTTCCTTGGATCTGTCAGCAGTATTGGAGGAAAAAGAAAGTCGAGGTCCGTTAAAGGATACACACTTTGTCACACATAACCTTCACTCTTAAAAAGCAAGAAAACAAAAAGATGTTTTACAGAGAAAACTAACCTTCTGAATGTAGAAGCTGGATTTTGACATTGTTTCATGGGCACTTAAATGAGCTTGTACAGTGTTTGCAAGTGTAGAAGAAGCATTACAGATAAAGCAAATATTTTGAACTTTTAACATCATGAACTAAGTGGTGCAGCTGCATTTGCCAAATCATGCAAACGGTGTAGTGGAAAAAAAAAGTATTTGTAGTTCAGTTTATTCATGCATGCAGATTTTAGTGATAGTTTTACCCCTTCCCTATCTTGATATATCCATGACAACACAACTTGTTTACATTTCACAAGCAAAGCCGTTAAAAAGTGAAGATTTTAATAATATCAAATTAGCAGACCTACAAGTATTTTGTAAGACATTGCACCAAAGCTGCAAGCATGAAAATGTATAAATGTAAAGGATTAATGGGGAATGACAAATACCTTTCATAAAACTAGACATGGAATTACAAAAGTTGTTATGTTGTCCAGGTTATTGTACAATTTAAAATCCAGGCTGACCTCTTCACAACAGATTAAGATCTATTGATTTTAAATGACATTTTGATTATATGAACAAACACTTGTGCAACTTCAAGTCTTTGTTCTAAATACACAAAACAAACCAGACAAAGAGCAAGGAAATAAATTCTAGTGTCTTGGTTTCTTACTGTGGGAAGCTCTTAAACAGACTTTCTTTCTACTGTAGAGGCTTATTGCAGTTGCTTAATTTTTCAGGCAATTTTTGGATTTCCCTTTTTTATAATCAGTTCACTTGTAAAATTCATGCACGTCATCATCCATGAAAGTCACATGTGAAAATAGGTGATAATACTAAAGCTAAATTGTAACTTTGGAGCTGAAAGCCAACTGGAGTGCTGCAGAACTGTGAAGGCAGACTGTCATACTCACCTGTAGTTTGCTCCTGAAGAAGGAACTGTAGAAGGAGAGTGTGAATGCCATTTCCTTCTTTTTTTTTTTTTCCCCTCCTGAGTCAGGCTACTTTCTTCTTTTCTCTTTTGTCTTGACTGAGACAGTTGAAAAAAATAAATTAGGTTTTGCCACTCTAAACTCAGAAGTACCATACCTTTCAAGACCATGTGGTCTAATATCACATTTGCAGGTTGCGTGTGAAACACTGAAGATACAGCAGTGTTTCAGGAATTTGTCTGAATATGACCTTGGAAGTAAAGGAGATGTAGCAGAACAAAGTAAGGAAATTTGCTTAAAAAATTAATATCAGCCTATTAGTATCATCAGATTAGTAACAAGTCATAGAGAAATGGCTAATGTATCATCCAGCAGTTAAATGATGAAATGAGCATTTTGAAGCTCTAAACTTAAGTGGTATCAGAGAATGATGATTGACAAGAAAGAAAGTGAAGAATAGGAGAAACTAGGCAAGCCTGTTTATATTTTTTAGGTGGATAGAAGGTATAGTGTGTATTCTGAGTTTACATACATATCTGTATGCTATCCTAAAACACTGCATTTGGTTAAATGCAGTTTCAGGGAATCTTATTAAAGAGAGAGGAGTTTGATTAGGTTGGTAGAGTTCTACCCTATTACCTGTACTGTTTACAGTAAAGTGTCTGCTATTAGGCAGGGCGGAACTGGGTAGAGGCAATCCAGAAGCCGAGCACAGTCAAGACGTTACATATACCGTGTCCTCTCCAGTGTGTTGGGAGATGTACAGGAAAAAGATGAAGATACTCCTTCACGCTGATACCTCTCCCTCTTCGCCCCCTTCTTCAGTTTGTTATTAACTGATGATCAGAAGTTGGATTCCTGTACTAATTGTGAGTAATCTAGCAACCTCATTCCTCTTCCTCGTCTGGTCGTGCTACTGGACACAGCACAATCCCGTAATTTGTTCATCCCCACCGTGTCACAGGCCATAAAATTGCAAGATGCTTTTGGTTGCCTTGAGTCAGTCAGCTGCATGTCTGTCTGTGGCTCTTGCCCTTAGTGCCTCATGCACTTTCCATGGTATTAGTAATGCACCCCATGGAGTTAAGTTCACAAATTCTATGTAACCTTAACTCTACACCAACACCATGTGTCTGCACTGCCTAATCCTTCTCCAGCTAATGTTCTCTTTTCTGGACATTTGTGCTAAGGGTTCTCAAGGGTAGGAAGTTTTCAGAGAGGTGCCAAAACCCATTGAAGAATAAAGGGATTACTTTATTGGCCTAGGCCTGCTTCCTTCACAGCAATCCGCAGAAAACAGCAGCACGACAGTGGCCTCTGGTGGGTTGTGCAGCCTTTTCTAGTCCTCCTAGAGTAAGTCTTGGGCAGACCTGTTAAACTTGATGCCTGAGGAGGAGTTTGTGCTTGGGTGCTTGGCCAGAAACAGATGGTGACTGTCAGAGACGTATTGTTATACACCCTTGCTGGCTGCGTATGGCCTGGGATCTGCCAGTTGGAAAGTACAAATTTAATGAGTGGAACTTCGCGTCCAAAGTGCATTTGTGATCAGTATTGTGGGATAGAGAATACGGAGAGGAGTTCAGTGTTTGATTACTACTGATCCCGCTGTTAATCATCTGGAAAAGCACTTAAACAGTAGCTAATGAAATCATAGAATCATAGAATGTTAGGGGTTGGAAGGGACCTCGAGAGATCGTCTACTCCAACCTTACTCCCAGAGCAGGATCCCCTAGGACAGGCCATGCAGGAACACATCCAGGCAGGGTTTGAAAGTCTCCAGAGAAGGAGACTCCACAACCTCTCTGGGCAGCCTGTTCAGTGCTCCGTCAGCCTCACAGGAGAGAAGTTTCTCCTCACGTTGAGGTGGAACTTTCTGTGTCCTAACTTATACCCATTATTCCTTGTCCTATTACTGGGCACCACCAAAAAGAGACTGGCACCTTCCTCTTGACACCCACTCCTCAGATATTTATGTACATTGATAAGATCCCCTCTGAGCCTTCTCTTTTCAAGACTACACAGCCCCTGTTCTCTCAGCCTGTCTTTGTAGGAGAGATGATCAAGTCCCTTAATCATCCTCGTAGCTCTCCGTTGGTCTCTCTTTTGAACTGGGGAGCCCAAAACTGGACACAGTATTCCAGATGTGATCTCACCAGCAGGATGATCTCCAATCTGTACTGGTGCCTGGTGTTATTCCTCCCCAGATGCAGGACTCTACACTTATCCACTCTGAACTCCCTGAGGTTCCCTTTGCCCAGCTCTCCAGCCTGTCCAGATCTCGTTGGATGGCAGCACAGCCTGCTTGTGTGTCAGCCACCTTGAGTAATTGAAGAGCATATAAACAACATAGAACAGAGAGGGACTGGAAATTCTTGTTTTGAATGGCAAAATGAGAATTATCTTAAGAAAACATTTTGCCCTACATTAGGAACTATTTTGTAATGCCACTATATAGTAGTGAAAAAGACATGTGACTTCATTTTTTCAGGGGACATATCTGAGGATAGGGACTTTCTAAATACTGCTTCCAAGAATCTGGGCTTCCTGGAATGCTTCATTTCAGGGTAGTCTGTCATTGTAAAGTTATAGACAAAATGGAAGAAATTTATCAATTAGCGAGAAGCTTGACAGGGACTGAGGAGAGCTGTTGAGGACAGATAAATGAATTTAAGCACGTGGTACACCACTAAATCACAATTAAGAAGATGAGGAAAAGGAGAGAAATGTAATAGTATAAATATTGGAATGGTGTAAATGTGAAACAGATTTTTCTCTTGTACACAGTGATATAAACAAAAAGGATGGGGAAATTAAAGCTCTGTGCTGTATATCTGCGTAACTTTGCCAATAAGAAGTACTGCAAAAGTCCTGTTTTTTGGAATGAGTAAAGGAAGCCCTGTCTCTGAAGAGAGTCACCAGACTTGACAGAAGGCCTTAGGAAAGAAATCTTTTCCTGCTTTGATTACGACAGGACCTTTTTGATTCTAACTTCCATGAGTCATATCGTCTGGAACTCGTGAAATATTTTATGTTTGGACAGGGTGACAGAAACCATGAGTGTGATCTGTAATGCTGCCTTTTCAGTTATTTACAACGTATTTCTTATTTAGAAAATTGTTCCTTTTTGTGTCTTTCAGCTTTCAAAAATAGCTTTACCTTAATATGTTTGCTGGCAGTGGGTAGGAGAAGGTCTTTGGGCTACAACTTCTGTTACATTTGTTTTAACTTTTAATACCTGTGTATCTTATCAGTGAGTTACTGCAGGAAAACTTAATTTCTTACCAGCTTTTTATCTTTGAGTAAGCACATCAGTCAATTTGGAGGACATGATTTTTTTTATTAAACTTTTTTTTTAAAAAAAGAAAAAGTCATGACGGCAAATATTTTCCAGACTCAAACCACAACCAGCTATTCCTGCAGTAAAATAGATTATTATACAAGGAATTGTCGTATTCATTTCAGGAATAATCTCAATAGAAATTTTTTTGTTTAAAATTATGGGCAGCTCCAGGGATTTTGATTATCTTTATTTTGCGTAATTAGCTGAGATAGGTATGTCCTCAGCTTTAGTTAAATAAACAAATTGATGTGAATTTGCAGGTGATCAAAAAATTAAAACCACTGTCAGAGAACAACTGCAGGCAAGTCTTGCATGGTGTATTGATAGATACCTTTGTTCCAATGCCACTTCAGTAAAATACTTAGCAGAGTGCACGATGCGTTTCATCATCGATAAGGAATGCTTATTTTCAGAAGAGAGTGAGCTGATTTAAAATGTATTTTATAGTGTTTTAAATACAATAATTTCTGAATATTTCTTTCTGTAATTTTTTCTGAATGTATAAGAATGAAGTTTAAAACTTCCAAAGAAGTCAGAATGAAGCTCCCAAAAGTTAAAATCAGCTTGGTATTTCACTGAAGCTTAGCTTTTAATATAAAATTAAATCCTTGCTTTTTCTAATCTACTGTAATCTAATTGCAGTTGATGAGTAAAGAGTCTCCAGTCTCTGTTGGAAATGATGCTTACGTTGACCTTGATCGACAGGTATTTAAGACTGGATATTTATTTTCCTTCAGTCGTAGTACATCAGTGGCCAATCATTTTGCTTTAAGTCTGTCTTTTTTTGCTTTAATCATGAAAGGTTTTTATGGGAAACTCAAATAAGAAGTGGAAAACTTAATTTCAGTTTTTCAAGTCTTCCTTTTTGGTTGTTTTTTTCTTGTTTGTTTTGGGTTTGGGATTTTTTTTTTTTGTTTTTAAAGTAAAGAAAAACTTGGTTTGGAAAACAAGTTTAGCTGTATGATACAGTATAGCAAAACTGCAGACTGGTGCAAATCTTTTGGTACTGAGAAGGAATAAAAAAATGTGTAGTAATTGAATAAAACGTTTTTTGACAGTTCCTACTTCCAGTATCAGTTTAAAAAAAAACCAACATAAATGTGATTCAAAAATCCTTAAAGGATTCCTGGGAAAAATATATGAGAAGTTTTCAAAGAGAACCCTTTCCTGTCTGATATATTTAAAGGGTATGCAAAACCAAATTTTTTTTTTACTAGCATAATCTCATGGTAACACTGTCCTACATCCTCAGTTTTCCTCCAGTCAAGAAGTTAGTACAATGGTGTCCCCTGTGTTCTTCTGTCATGCATTCTCTGCAGAAGTATCTACGTTCTGTCAGATGGAATTAATTTTTGTATGTCAGCAGGCCCTTGAGAAATAAACTTGAAAAAATAAGACACAAAGATAATGCTTGAGAAAGCCTGTTTGAGATTCGTCATATATATAATACATAGCTATATTTCTAAAGATGTAATATGTACGCACCTTTCCTCTCAGACCACTCTTCTTGTACCTGTATTTTTTAATGTTAATTTCCTTCATATGCAATGTTGCAAGATACATATATTTGAACATAAAGCCTCTGAAGGGAAGTATCTGAGTATTTCCCACAAGATAGAGTGCTCTTTTTGAAAAGGGTAGGCTTCTCCCTCACCATGTTAGTTGTATTCCTGTTGTGCAGTTAAGACTAGAGAGATTTTACCCTAATTGTCTGTTCCCTCTATTCCACCTTTCAGTTCTTTCTGTATTTGAGAAGCAGATTGAGAACTGAAATTACACACTCTTTGCATCCATAAAGAAAAGTGGTATTGACAGTTTTTCCACTGTACAGAGTTGATGAGTTCTTCAGACCCAAGTTCTTCAGGACTTTTTGACTCAATTGATAGAATATATATGATAATTCTAATATATTTTTGTAAGACCAAATACTGCTTTTAGTTATATTTGCTTTTTACTGTCACACAAACTAAACAGTACTCATATCCGCTTCTCTGGGTTTTTTGTAAGAGTGGAATTGCCTCAGTTTTCCAAAATTTAGTACATTACCTAAATGTAAAAATAATTTTAGGGTCATGTTGTTCGGAATATTTTTAGACATTTCACAGAGAGTAATGAAGCTATAAATGTTTATTGTTTATGGTAGCTGAAGAAAACTACAGAAGAATTAAATGAAGCACTAGCAACAAAAGAAGAAATTGCCCAGAGATGTCATGAGTTAGATATGCAGGTAAGTTTGCTGTATTGTACTTCATAATTTTCAAGTGTGAAAGATATGTGTTGATTTTTAGGCAGTTGTAAACAAGAAGTATAGTGTGCAAATATAGTTTTTAAAAGATATTCAGAAATTGCACAGTCATTATTTTGCTTTTCTTTGGCTGTAAGAGTGGATTTCATTGTTTTCTTATTGATGCAGTATTGCTCATGCTAAGATGATTCATACTGACAAAATGTTTTCTCATTCAGGTTAAGTTGAACTGTGTGGTCCAACCCTGGCATTAGAGAACTAACAGAGGTTATGCTGCTCTAACAGTTTCAGTTAAGAGTTAAATCCCAGTTGGAAGTTACTATAGTCTCTCAGCTGTGTATGGAATTTGACAAAGCCTTACTGTAAATCAAGTGTACTTCATCTGGAAGACATTAGGATTGTAAAGTGGGAGCCCCAAAAGGCATTGCCATTGCAGTGCTGCTTTGGAGTATAATTCAGGCTTTTGTCAAGCAGTTTAGTAACTATTCGAAGTGTTAAAGCTGATTTCTATGTCATGGTTGATTTTGGTGTTATTTGTTGATTCACGCTCTTACTGAAGGATTTCATTCTGTTGAGATAGTCACATTCCCTCTTTTCCCCTCCTCCCCCTATGTGTTATTTCTGTACTATTTAATAATATATGAACCTATGCTTTAGCTGTTGTTTGAGTTGCAGCACTTAGGGCTCTTTGCACTACTGCCTGCTTTTAGAACTTTGGCAGAAATTGTCATCGTTAGGACTGTGTTCCTGTTTCAGATCTACTTGCAATTGGCCACTGGAATAAAATAAAATCCAGGAGGGGTACAGCCATCCCTTGGATATCCAGACTTTGATATTCTGTGTGATTGATAAGCATTATTTCTTGTGGAAATCAGTTTTAAAAGGTTTATTGTGGAGGGATAATTTTAGTTGTTCATTAGGGAAGTTTGCAGACTTTGTTAAAATGAAGTTATCTTCTATGATAACTAAAGCTTTTCCTTTAGAAGGCTTGTGCAGAATACATTTAAGAATAGTTACGTTTTCTGCGTGGTGAATATGCCCCTAATGTTGCAGTATGTTGCTTACGTTACATAGCAATTGAATACTTGCTAATGTTACAGTATAGCCTTGTGAAATGTGATTATTGAAGCCTGTGTGTTTTCATTTGTGGGTTTATTATGCACATGAAAAAATTGCTTTCTGTATCTGCACAGCTCCGTTATTCCAGATTATGCCTTTATTACAACAGGTTGCAGCCCTCCAGGAGGAGAAGAGCAGCTTGCTTGCTGAGAACCAGATTTTGATGGAACGTTTAAATCAATCAGATTCTATTGAAGATCCCAACAGTCCTGCAGGTCGAAGGCACTTACAGCTGCAGACACAACTAGAACAACTCCAAGAGGAAACGTTCAGGTAGGACAACTGTACTTGGTTAAATTTTTTGTACTTGGCCACAAGCATGACTTTTATACTTCTGGTCCTGCTGGTGATTATGAATTACTGTAATGGGTGGTGTAACCACAGAATTAAGTGTTTACAGTGATGTACATGTTATGTTTTACCTCCTTGCAAGGTGCCCTGTAAAACCCCCACAATTTCTTACTGCTGGAATGTGATACATAATGTTCACTCTCTAATCTTTGAATTTATTTCAAACTGTTTGTGTGCAATAATTTCAACCATGTTTTTCAAAGTAAGTGACAAGTAAAAATTACATGCTTTTCACTGTGTAAATTACTCTGTATTTCTAAGGTGTTACTCCATATTTCCAAGGTGTAGGAATTCCTAGCTGTAAGCCTGCAGTACTACACGTGGTATTACCATGCAGCTAAGTGTGTCCCTTTCTGAGTTCGAAAACAACTTGTTTCATATCTGAAATACAGAGATTATCTGCAAGTGAGCTCTATTCTTCATTTGCATTTTTTCAACATGTAGAAATACAGTTCCTTTTAAAATATCTTTCCTGGTCGTTTTAACTGGTGCTTTCAGGCTGTGTGTTTTGCTGAAGGAGGCTGGTCCAATTAATTTTTTCATTCTTGTTGCTGTACTTTCTCTACCCTTTATGAATGAAACTCTGGTATTCCTCTACACTGCCAGTTTTTCTTCTCTTTCTTTCTTATGATTGCACTTTTCTAATTCTTATTTCAGCTGCCATGCAACTTTTCTTTTTTGTCTCTTTTGCTATTTGTACTCTTCCTCTTCCTAAGCCTCTTCCCTGCGTGTTCAGACACTCCCTTGAGTTTCTTGAAAAATATTCAATGTTTCTCTTTCACAACAGCTAGAGCCTGGCTTTATTCTTTCTATATATCTACCATCTAAAGGAATAATATAGTGATGTCTCACTAATGTCTCCTTTTACATCTCCTTATTAATCTCCATCTCATGGCATAATTCCTGTCTGAGTCTTTTAACAACTACTGTTTGGACAAGTTTTCTCCTCGTGAGATACCTGCACTGCCTGTTACTCTAGTTTCAGGTTGTGAAGGTCTTTCTAAACACTTGGCACGTGTGAGACTCATCTTCCAGTTTCCTTTACCTCTTTACCCTGCCTTCATAGCATATGGTTTCTAATGGCAGTTTGTGTGTGTTCCTCTCTAGCTCTACCTGATGAAACAGGACGTATGTGTAGCTTTACTGATGTCCCGTGGGGTACAACAGTTTTTCTCCCACTCTTGCCTCTTTAAGTCCTTTGACAATTCAAGTCTATCATGATATAAATTTTGTTATATGTGGCTTAGATGACCTACTGACTGTCTCTTGTCTCCATTCTTGTATATTCTTTTTGGACTCCTTGAATTAATGGATAGAATGCTTTTTTATGCCTATACCTCCTTTTCTGGTTTGTTTTTATTTTAATTTCAGATCAAAATCACAATAGGACTTCATATTCCAGGTTGGATTCTCTTCCATTTGTTCAAAATACTTTGACAAAGTTTGTCTTGGTTACTTCCTTTGTTCACTGCTAGGTTAATGCAGCTTTGGATGTAAGTAGCTCATTCCAGAAACTTTGGTCTGAGTTCTTTGAATTCTTTACACGCTAACTAGATAACTAAATGTATAACTTGGTTCTTCAGAGGTACTGGACAGGCTCTTTGTAAGTAAGTAAGGAAAACCACTTTGGTGAGATCTCTACAGCATTTGGAACATTGAACAGTCAGGTCAATATTGTTGAAGCTGTGTAGAATCATAGAATGTTAGGGCTTGGAAGGGACCTCTACAGATTGTCTAGTCCAACCCCCCTGCCAGAGCAGGATCACCTAGGACAGGCCACACAGAAACACATCCAGGCAGGTTTTGAAAGTCTCCAGAGAAGGAGACTCCACAACCTCTCTGGGCAGCCTGTGCCAGTGCTCTGTCAGCCTCACAGGAGAGAAGTTTCTCCTCACGTTGAGGTGGAACTTCCTGTGTCCTAACTTATACCCATTATTGCTTGTCCTATTACTGGGCACCACCAAAAAGAGAATGGCACCTTCGTCTTGACACCCACTCCTCAGATATTTATGTACATTGATAAGATCCCCTCTCAGCCTTCTAAAGACTTTAGCCTTTTCAAAACTACACAGCCCCAGTTCTCTCAGCCTGTCTTTGTAGGAGAGATGATCAAGTCCCTTAATCATCCGTGTAGCTCTCCGTTGGTCTCTCTCTTGAACTCAGGAGCCCACAACTGGACACAGTATTCCAGGTGTGATCTCACCAGGGCACAGTAGAGGGGGAGGAGAACCTCCCTAGACCTGCTGGACACACTTTTCTCAATGCACCCCAGGATCCCATTGGCCCTCTTGGCCACAAGGGCACATTGCTGTCCCATGGACAACTCACTGTCCACTAGGCCTCCACGGTCTTTCTCCGTGGGGCTGCTTTCCAGCAGGACAACCCCCAATCTGTACTGGTGCCTGGTGTTATTCCTCCCCAGATGCAGGACTCTACACTTGTCCTTCTTGAACCTTTGCCCAACTCTCCAGCCTGTCCAGATCTCGTTGGGTGGCAGCACAGCCTGCCTGTGTGTCAGCCACCCCTCCCAGTTTTGTATCATCAGTGAACTTGCTGAGGGTGCGCTCTGTCCCCTTAACCAGGTTGCTCATGGAATTGGACAACTGAACAAACTGTTAGAATAAAGGTGTCATGTTCAAACTCTGTTTGCCCCAAGATGAGAAAAGGTTTAAATTTCTGCTTGAGATTCCGTTGTGAAAAATTACTATGACAGAAGAAACTCAGGATTTGTCTTTCTGAGAATATAACTTACCCTGTAATCTTCCAAATAGAAAGACTGTTACCAAATTGGGAGCATGAGAAAAGTCAGTTTGCTTCTACCGTTCTGAATAAGTACACTACGCTTCTCGTGTCCTTCAGTGCATGAGAAGGCATGATGAGGAAAGGTAACTGTAGCTCAAGATAGGAAGTTATTTTCTGTTTCACTTCATTTCTACAGATTAGAGGCTGCCAAAGATGACTATCGAATACGCTGTGAAGAATTAGAAAAGGAAATTGCTGAATTAAGACAACAAACAGAAGAGCTTACTACTTTGGCAGAAGAGGCTCAGTCTTTGAAGGATGAGATAGATGTACTCAGGTAAACTCGGTTCTATTAATCCTTTTTTAAATATAAACTTTTAATCCATATAATTTGTGCATTTATAAAAATGCACACTTTCTCACTGCCAAGGTTCTTTGGGATCCTTTAGTGAAGTATACAGACCACCACACAATTCTACTTAAGTAAATCAGTCATTTGTTGTGTACCTCATCAATAACTGTTAGTAAACTTAGAGAATGTACACCATCTTATGGTCATAACAGTTTACTTACTGATCTCCAGTATTCTCTACTCACCTTCATTGTAACTTGAACATCTGTTCTTTTCAGGGAACTAGAGCCTTTCTTTTCCTGGGTTTGCATTCTGTGGATGTTGAGTAGTGCTTTTGGCTCATCATCTAATATAAATATGAACAACATCTGTTATAGCTCTTTGCCACTACGTTTTGGCTACCCAAGTTGTCATGATTTAGTGATGATAGGGCTTTATAGGGTGGGGCAGCCCTTTTTACTATGGAACATAATCCAGTAGTGGCGTCTTGCTGCCATGGCCTTTTCAGAACTACCTACCTGACACTTTTTCTAGCAAGTCTTGCAAGGCTTATTTTAGTATTGTCTTTTTTAATGCACCAGAATATTTCTACCAGAGCTATCTGTCTTTACCTCCTCTGTCATTAACATAAGGAATGAGCTCATCAGGCTACACAGTTCCATAAAATATCTGTGTGGGCAGCTTGGGTTCAAAGAGTAATTTCTTGCCCCAACATCCCATAAACTGACAGTCAATTCAGTGGAAGATTCTCCAGCTTTCAGAGGAGATCAAGTCTGTAAATTGGTTCTAAAATGTTCTAAAATGAAACTGGCCACAGTAGTGGGTGTGGGGGTGGTTGAGGGTGAAGGCTATTACTGTCCTGGCAGTGCACCAGATGGATTGAAAAAAATCTGAAATGTTATGAATGGAGCTTGATGTTTAATTATTTTTTTGAGCTAACCAAGACCAATCCTATTCAGTGATTTTACTTTACATCTCAGTCTCTTCTAAGAGACTGCACGTCTGAAGTTAGCAGCATGTTTTTGCAGACAGTGTCTGCTGCTGGAAGTGATAATGTCTGGTGTTTAAGTTGCTACCAGGAGTTGGTGTGCAGAAAGACTCTTGCTTATACCTATTCCTGTAATGACTAAGGTCACTGCTGGCTCTTGTGTGCCACACTGGGGGTGTGGGCAAATAAAAGGGGTCCCAAGGAAGTAAAAGGTTGCACCTCTGGTGGGTAACAGACAGGACAGGTGACCAACGAGAGTCCATCCCATACACATCACATTCAGTAGAAAGCTGGGGATCCCAGGGGTTAAGCTCACCTTCTTCAGTGGCTGGCATCCAAGGAGGACTTTTGTCCAATCTTTTGCCGTCACTCCTGATCCTGAGGTCACGAATCCAGATTTTGTATCCAGCTGCCCTCTACCACTGGGACTTGCCAGGTGCTACCTGTTCTGCAACATCAGCGGGGATTGTGATTGCGAGGGGAGTTGCATTTGATAGTGGTTTTGTGTATATTTCTATATAATTTTCATCATTCCCTTATTAGTACTATTATTGTTTTAGTAAAGCTGTTTTAGTTTTGTTTTCCAATCTGTACGTCTCTCTGCCTTATTCTATTTCCCTTCCCATTTTGGAGAGGGAGAGGGGTTTTAGAGCATCTGTCAGTATTTACTGTCCAGCCGAGCCCTACTCTCAACAATATCAAATCAGGCTCCAATACTGTTACGGTACTTCTGTGTCACCACGTTTATGCTGCCCACGAGACAGATTTTTGTGATGTAATTCCTGGCCATCATTTAAACAAGTTGAAGGGCAGAAAATTTTATCCTTTAGCCTTGTAAAATGCAGGACTGAGAATTGAGAGGAAATGGGTGGGAGTGAAAATCTTTTAACTATCATTTTAACATTAGAAGCAGGTAATATGTCTCAGTGTATTTTACCTTAAGGCAAAATCACAGAATTTTCAGGGTTGGAAGGGACCTTGAAAGATCATCTAGTTCAATCCCCCTGCCAGAGCAGGGTCACCTACAGTAGATCACTCAGTAACGTGTCCAGGCAAAATACTGAGGAAGCTTCAGGACATTTTCTTAGTTTTCAGAGTAAATATTTGATACAAGTCTGTCCCTCCAGGCATTCTTCTGATAAAGTAGCCAAATTAGAAAGCCAGGTAGAGTCATACAAAAAGAAATTGGAAGATCTGGGTGATCTGCGACGGCAAGTGAAACTTTTAGAAGAGAAGAATACAATGTACATGCAAAATACTGTGAGCCTGGAGGAAGAACTAAGGAAGGCCAATGCAGCACGCGGTCAGCTGGAAACATACAAAAGACAGGTAAGAACAGACATCATCAGTACCAAAGTTCTCTTTATTGTCCAACACTTTCTCTTTGTAACATGGCTAATACCTCAGAGTAAAAAAAAAAGAAGTAATGAACAAACATCTCCCTGTGTTTGGAAGACTTCCATGTTTTGTGGATACTGTTTTTGTCCTCCTTTCCTGAAATTACCATTATTTCAAGTTTACATTAGGTTATCAATAAGCAATATTTCTTACATTTGAAAAATCAACAGATGTTAAGGTGTTCTTTCTCAAATTATTCCTAATTTATATTCAATAGTGGGACTTGTATAAGAACTTCTTCCTTTAGAAAAATTATCCATTTTTCATTTACAAAGTTCCAGCAGTGAGGAATGCACCACAGCTGAGGTAAGCTGTTCCTGTAGTTAAGTAACCTCTTCTTTTTAAGGTTTTAGTTTTTCTCATATGTGTGAATTTGTCCAGTTATGAAGAGAGAAGGACACATATGATCCCTGTTGTTTATATGCAGTCGACAGAGTACAGAATGTGTCACCAGTGTGCTCTCTGAAGTGAAAAGGCATCTGTTTATCCTCCTGCTTATCAAGTGCCATATGATCCTCTATCTGTAAAGGTGAAAGATGTGCTTAATCTTCTCCCTGCTTCTCCCCTACATTGACATAACATCATTCTGGGATTCTTGTTACAGGGCCAGACATAGTGTAGTTCATTAAAGTAGTAACGTCTGCTCTGTGTTTCTGCCTGCTTATAAGCTCAGGTGGTCATGGCACAGTTATCCCTATATGTCAGTTTACAGCAGAACAAAAATACAGAGTCAGCCACTAAAAAACATTGCAAGCCTAGGAGCCATGTGTGTCCCTAAGACTATGCCTGGTTGTCGAAGTTAAGACAACTAGCTTCAGCTTCTTTGGGCTAATTGTGAATACATCTCAAATTATTCCAACAGAAAAAAAGAACTTGGACCAAAAAAATGCTGAAATAGCAGACAATCAAAGGGAAAAATAAATGCAGAACTTGATGGCCTGTCACACAGGAGTAGCATCGTGTTTAGTGGCAACAAATACTTCACTGAGCATGTCCTATAGTTGTGTAAGCTTGACGTCTGCATCTGATAGTTCTTACTTTACCAACAGTCAGGGTTTTGGAAGGGACAGTGCCATCATTTGTGCTGCATAAGGACTCCTTTTTTCCATCATTCCGTGTGTTTTATGGGTAGGATTTCACGTCTAAGGAGCTGTTGATTTGTATAAAACTGTTCCACTTGCCAAGAATGGAATAAACCTCAGGTGTCTCATGACGGATGTGAGTTTTCTCATAACTATAGTGCCTTAAAATAAACAGAGAGTGTGTTTGCCTTCAGTATCTGTAAGGCTAGGCTCATTTTGAAACCTGCCTCTGAATCATGAGCTGTCACAAAATTTATTTCTGGGAATCCTAAATTGTGCTATAAGAATTAAGCCGTGTGGAAGGATTTGGGTGTTCGGTCACTGCCTAGCACTTGTGTGCCCCTGTAGTAGAATGTGTCTTGTCTGACCTGTGAAGGATCCAACCCCACTGATGATGCCATCAGAGGAGTTCTTTGCTTAGAAGCTCTGTGCTGTGTGAGTGAAAGTGCTTGGTTCAGATTCCTGTAGTGATCTGCAAGGAAATTGTACCTTCACCCCACCCAGCTGTTTGAAAGATGAAGCTAGTGGTGGTGAATTGTGCTGCGAGATGTAATAGCGTTTATTTATTTGAGAGTTTTTGTTCACATCTCTGAAAGCAAGCACAAACATTTTCTAAGAAACTTTTTATTGCAGCATGAAGTTGAAATGTGAAGATTCTATGATTATTTTTTGTTGTTTTAATTCAGCCCCTTTGTGCATGTGCATTCTGACGTATTTCTAACAGTTATGTCTTGCTTTTCTTTGCAAGATTCCTGCTTTAGTCATTCCACGTGTCACATAATGCTCAATAAATGTGATGGCCATTCATTTTTTTTTAATCCTCTGCATTACCATGTAGCTGTATATCTTTCTATACATTCCCAAGTCCTGATTCAAGACAATTTATTTCCTGCTGTGGTTTTCTACATACCGTTACTGTAGCATGAGTGATTACAGACATTAATGCATTTGTTTCCATCCGAGGTGAAAACATAACCTGTTTTGCAAGTGTGGGCACAATCACAAGTGAAGGCCTGCGTTATTTACTTTTTTTTACATATGAGTTTTTCTGATAGCCCCAGTCATAGTTGTCACAAATGAGAAACTAAGTATTTTCATATGTAAGATTTTGTTTTGGTTTTTTTTTAAATCTGATAATTTTGAAAATAGCAAGCCTCTGCTTTCTTTTCAGCCTTTAATTTAAGAACAACAGCAAACGCCTTCTCCAAGACATAACTTCTCTTAAGACCATGCAGATTTTTAGGTGTAGTGTAGTTATTTTGCTATAACTGTATACATTGAAGACAAAAGGTAATTAGGACCAGTAGGCAGTCTTAATGTAGGTATGGCTACTGCTTTACTTCACAATAGGAGTTAATCACTTTCTCTGTAATCTAAAAGCCATGGAAAAAGCCTTCTTATTAACTTCAGAGAAGCTATATGTCTTTAGCCGAGGCTTCGTTCAGCTTTTGTGTTTGCAGATTATTCTTTATTCAGCTGACTTGCTTCTGTGCCCTTTGCATTATGAGCTTTACTTGTGTTCTGGGAATGAGCCTTTGCTTAGTAAAGGCTGAAAGTTTTGAAAAAGCAAGACTTCACTGATTTGCCTCCTGTTCACTGATCATTTCCGCTCAACTTTTCTATTTCTGCTCATTTTATTTTAAAAACTCTTTACTGATCTGTAGTTGGAAGTATACATGCAACTTTGTTAGCAATGTTTCCTCCTGATGTAAAGAAAACTGTTTATGAGCCTGTGTCTGAATCTTTATATTAGTGTATGAAAATGGTTAGGAAAATCTCAGGTTAAGAAACGTTACCGGACTGCATAAACTGGTGATTGATCTCTGAGTGAGTCTTGTGAAATAGAGTTAACGAAAGGTGTAGATAATTTGCTTTCTTCAAAGGTGTTTTTTTTTCCCTAGGCTTCTCAGAATGCAGGAGGACTTTTCTACTTTTCCTCAGCTCTTTGACCCATAGAACTATACAGCTTTTTTCTGTAAATTCTTATTTTTACATGTATTGAAAATACTTCACAGATTTTGCTTCTTTTGCTTGTGCTAAGACCTAATATTTGAATGCTTTTGGTTTTGCTGAAACACAGAACAACTAATGACAGCATTTTTTATAACGTCCTGTAGGTAACTATTTCACTTACAACATGACTCGTGGTGCATGGTAATTGGCTACTTTGTCTTGTATATTTTGTTTTAATATTAATATTTGCAGACAAATCATTGATTCTTATTCTCACAGGCAGTTGAACTACAAAACAGGTTATCTGAAGAATCCAAGAAAGCTGATAAATTAGATTATGAATGCAAACGACTGAGAGAAAAAGTAGACAGCCTCCAAAAAGAAAAAGATGTAAGTGCCAAGGTGTTATTTTTTTGGTAGTAGCAATAGCAACTTTGTATCCTTTATAACACAGAGATATGGTAATTATAGTTAGCCATTTATAGTAAGCTTTTTAAATTAGGAAGTCTTTTTTCACTTAAAATTTTTTTATGCTTGTGTACAAGTTCCTTTTTAAACTTAAGAACTGTACAGTATGGAATGAAGTGACTGTACAAAAAATATGCAACCCATTTTTAAGAGGAAAAGCCTTCATATTTGAGATCTACAGTTACTTCTTGACGATTTACCATGAGGAGCTTATTAAACCCCCAGAGTAATTGTAATGTATTCTGAAAAACTATTTAAAGTAGCATTTTTGCATTTTCATCCTAGAACTAAACTACTGTTTCATTTTTTCTAAAGTATTCTTTGAGGTACTGCCAGCATGCTTCTCTCTGTGGAGTCCTGACTGCTGCAGCAAGAGGCTTAGGAGTTGTGTAGAGGAACACATTCTTTGTGGCAATCTTACCCTTTGTGACAGCTCCCTGTTGATCTGTCTTGTGCCTCCAACTTGGAACACACGGGATGGATACTAGTCTGTTCCCTTTCTCTCTGTCATTTGCTTCTAGTGATTCTGCAACTAGTTGTTCTGTCCTCCCTTACCCAGACTGATCCCTCAGACTTCTTTTGCATACTGTTGTTTCTCACTAGTTTATTTTGGCTTGTTTCTTAGGAATCTGTATGCAGATGCCTCAAACTACCTCAAACCAAGATCAGCACTTAGAGTTAGCAATTTCTTGGGCTTGTTTTAAGTGTAAGTCCATCTATTTGTCAGTCAGAATTTCTATAGGCTTTCCCCTCATTAGTCATATTTCCTGTCCAGTTCTTTCCAAAACTTCCAGCCTCCACTTGAATAGCATTTGAACTGAAAGTTTTCACTTATTTTTTGTTCATAGGTCTTTGATTTCCATATTTTATTATTTTTTCAAGCTATTGTGGACACTTGTCCTTGATATCACTTCTATCTGCCCTTCAATTCAGATTGGAATGCCCATAGTAACTGTATTTGTACTGTGCTTTGGCTTTTTTTCCTGCTCTTCATTTAATGTTTGTTTTCCCAGTTCTGTTATGTCTGACAATGGTGAGGTTGTGTCTGTGGCTTACCCATTGCTTCATGGACTATTTCATCTTGCACAAAGGATCTGAATTGCAGGCCATTGTCATATAGTTTTCTGTTTTATCCCTTGGCAAGTAGCATTTTTGTGGGGAGGATGTTTTTCAGTACATTCTTCTGAATGGATACACACCTGTGAGAAGCAGTTTACAGCTGGAGTCTCTCAGTGTCTGAATTAGTGATTCACTACCCCTGTTGACAACTCTTTCCGTACCCTGTTGTCATACAGGTATCACTAAGGTTGCCCACCGCAGGTCACATGCTATGTAGTAATATCTTGTTAGTTATACCTTGGAAACTGTTGCTGAAATTGATTTTGTCCTTGTCTGAAGCTATATAGCTTGGAATTGTAACTCTGTGGTGTGTTGTATGATACGTACTTAGGTAATTTGATGAGTTGACTTTGCCTGCAGTGTTCAGATGAAGCCCTAGACTGTTTTCTATTCATTTGATTAATCAACTTGTTGTTTTCTGACTGTACAATCCTTGCTTTTGACACCTGAGTTTGAGCACTCCTTTGTGTGGCTCTTCTTTTGTAGTATTTATGGTAAAATCAGTTTTTTCACCTGTGGGGTTTTTGAAATGACTTTCAGGGCTAACAGAATGTACACTTTATTCATGTTATTCTAACAGTTGCACCAGAGTTCACTTTGCAGGATTCAGAAATACAGCAGAAGTCTCTGTCACACCTCACCAAAATGTTCTTTGCCAAAGTGATTTCTAGGGGCAGAAATACAAAATATGTCTGACAAAGTGTTAATAGGATGAAATGCAAGGACCTGTGAGCTGACACAACTCTGCACCTACATAGAGCTGAGGTCTGTCCTAGACCTTTTAGTAATACTGGACATGAGATTTTGAAACAAACTTGAGCTTGAGTCTTCACATAGCTGCCATTTTCACCTTTCATTTTTGAATCTTGGCAACCTTCTAGACAAAAACTTGATGCTACCTGTGGTCCTGGTTTGAACCAGACAGAACCAATTCTGTTCAGTAATTTTTAATTTTCTGTAGATTCTAATTTTTCACCAAAAGCTTACCTGTACCAAGTTGGGACAGTATTTGCCTGATGGTACTGTAGAGCCCGCCTGTCTAGATCCCAAGGTGGCCCAGTCCTTTCATTCAGTTCTCTTTGGATTGAGCCTCAAGCAACTGGTTTTCTTCCCTAGCTGAGGTGCTGGTGAATGACAAGAGCATTGGACATACAGGAAAAAGGAGATGTGGAAGTGCTGCTGCTTAGACTTTGCCTATCGAAAGACAAACAAAATGGAATTAAGGCAGTTTGTTGTGTTAACTGTGTACTCACCTGCTTTTTATTTCACTCCTGGCTAAACTTTGGTTTCTTGGTGAGGGAAGAATCTACAGTCTCTTAGTTCACTTTCTCTTGGAATCATCCCCATAAGAGAACAAGGAGGATGACTGAGTGGCCCCAGGGGATGCTGTTAATTGCCTGATAACAGAACTTTTTGTCAGCGATATCTTGATTTTGAAAGCTTGTACCCTGATACGTTTATGCCTGTAAGTGAAATACAGAGCAGCAGTCCTTCTCAAAAAACCCCACTGTTCATGTGGAATATGCAATATTTGTGTTTATTCTGTTATGAAATAGACCGAGGTGCCTTAATTTAAAAATCATCTATAGAGTTGTAAATTCTTTTTAAAGTGTTGAAGGCTGTACCTTTTGATGACTTATGAATAGTGAAAGGTGGATTTGTAGTGCCAAGATTGATATTTATTCTCTTTCCAATTATTCAGAGATTAAGAACAGAAAGGGATTCTTTGAAAGAAACTATTGAAGAGCTTAGATGTGTACAAGCTCAGGAAGGTCAACTCACCACTACAGGTAAAGGACAAATAAGGAAATTAAATGCATCTTTTCTGAAGTTTTCAGGACTTCTCTAGAAAGTATTGAATTTTGTTTGCCACAGAATAAATTTAAGCTCCTACAAGATCAGCAGTGAAAAGCTGCTTCAGCTGTTCATAACCTTGTAAGCATTTGAAAACTTCAAACGTTATTTCAGTCTATCAGAAATTTTAATCTCCTCCCCACTGTGATGTTTTTATAATACGTTTCTGATTTCCGCGTAGTTACATAATTTTCTTGAGATCCTCTTTTCTTGTGTATGTTTCATGCGTTGCAGTTTATTTCTATATGTAAAGCTGCACAGCTTTATAATTCATAGATAAGCTAATGTGCAGAAAATGCACATCAAAATTACTTCATCAGAATGAATGAAGACAGATAGAATTATTATTCTACAAATGAAATTGTACTTTTCTGTCTGTCTTGCTGTAGCCTGACTTTGCATCATTTTCCATCATCCAGCATTACTTTAAAACTGTGAACTTCTAGAGCATAATTTACTTGTGGTCTTTCAAAGAAAATTACTGGTCTGCTGACTAAGATTTTTGTTTTTCCTAACTCAGGATTAATGCCTCTGGGAAGACAAGAGCCTTCAGATAGTTTAGCAGCAGAAATCATTACTCCTGAAATAAAGTAAGCTAATATGTTCTTTGCTTTACTTGCATTTAAAATGTACCCATAGATGACTAGTTTTCAGTATTAGAAAGTTAAGTGGAAACTTTTTGTAGAAATTTCTTGGATTTTCCTCTCCTTTTGAATTTCTACACACAGGAGCTGTTACACTTAAGAAAAAAATTCAGTTAATCTCTCTTGATTTCTTTATTGTGCTCCAGAACATAAGGGAAACAGAAAGCTCTTTATCTTCACATTACGTCTCTCCTCCTCCTGCAGAGAGTTCATATAACTGCAGCACTTATTCGTGTTAACATACAAAAAGATTTGTAACAAGGATGTGATGTTGTACAAGCAGAAAATTATTAAAACTGTAAAAAGAAGAGTAGACTATATATATTCCATTTTGTATCATGGCAAATATTTACCATCTATTAAAAGGAAGAACAGCAGTGGCGAGGGTGAAAATCATTGTATCTTAAGATGCAGGCTCTGTTTAGCCTTGCCAGTATGCTCAAAGTGTTAAGACAGTCACATCTCAAAAATCTATTAGCTTTTCTGAAAATATTGATACAGTATTTTAACACTTGGAAAGCTCAGTACAGGTCAGATCATTCTGTTCAATGATAATACTTTTCTAGAAAGCTAAGAATAGAAAAGATTTGGTTTTGTAGCTGTGCTGCCACACCTTACTAGAAGGGCAATTATTGTTAGTTTTTTTCAGAAACAACAAAAGAGAAGAATAACATTTGGAGGCAGTGTAGTGAAAATAGAGTTACTGCATAAACCTTCCACGTGATTGCATGAGAGGGGACAGGAGCATGAATGCCCTAAGTATCCAAGCGTAGGCTGTGGTTTCACTCGCTCTTCATCTTTGTCTCCTGAAGATGAATCTAGATTTTGTACAAGCATGCATCTATGCGTACTGTTTGCAGTGGCTAAACTTGGCCTCCGTGCCTACTTGATAGAGGTGGATAGTAGCAGTGGCTACTGTAGGACTAGAACTTCCTGCTTTGGAGTTCTGGTCTGCTGCTTTTGCTGACAAAGGGGGAAGACCTGCACAAGGCAGTATGTGCCTTGTGCCTTCCATGCTGAGGCACCTTTCTCCATCTCATAGGAGCAGATCTCCAGACCAGATGGGAAAGTTTTGTGAGACAGATTCAGTCTGTGACTGGTCAATGGCACCTGAGGAAATCAACACATTAAGTGACACAGAGAGTTAGCAGGACTCATTGAAAGAGCCTTAAACTAAGTTTGAAAGGATGAAATCTCAGGCTCACTAGAGAGAAGCCTGGGTGTGACATGCCAGTGTTTGAAGGATGGTGTGCTAGTGAGGTTCTTCAGTCTGGTCTACAATGAATATGTTTGAAATGTCCCTGTACTAATGTGCACAGCACCATAGCCTTCTCAGTAGAGGTAAGGAGTGGAAGTGCATGCAGCAACAAAAACATGAAGGTTGTTGATGCGTTAGAAACCACAGAAGCACCTGAGAACACAGGAACTGGAACTTTTTGCCCCAAAAAGGTGGCAGGATTGATAGCCCAGCTGAAGTGCCTCTACATCAACGCATGCAGCATGAGCAGCCAACAGGAGGAACCAGAAGCCACTGTAAAGCAGGAAAACAATGACGTAGATGCCATTACAGAAATACGGTGGGATGACTTGCACGACTGTAGTGGTGCAATGGATGACTGTAAACCCTTCAGAAGGGATGGGCAAGGAGACGTGGGGTAGCCCTGTATGTTAGGGAGTGTTTTGTTCGTGTAGAGCTTGACAATGGTGATGAAAGGGTCAGTCGATTATGGGTAGGAACCGGGGGAAAGGCCAAAAGACAAATGTCGCCGTGGGAGTCTATTATAGACCTCCCAAACAGGATGAAGCAGCAGATGGAATGTAAGTAGCTGGGAGAAGTCTCATAATCACTAGCCTTTGTTCTCATGCTCTCACTTACCAGATGTCTACTGGAAATACGATAGAACAGAGATGAAACAGTCCCAGAGGTTGCTGGAGTGTGTGGAAGAGAACTTTCTGACACAGCTGGTGAGGTAGTCAGCTAGGGAAGATTCCCCAATGGACCAGTTTGTGAGCAGGGAAGGATTTCTGAATTATGTGATAATTGGAGGCCTCTTGAAATAAGAGTTTGCAGTTCTTGGAGAAGTAAGGAGTGGGTTATCAAAACTGCATCCTTGGACTATTGGAGGGACTTTTGGAGGCTCTTGCCTGTTTAGGGGTATGATTGACAGAGTTGCTTTGGATGTAGTCTTGAAAGGCAAAGGGATCCAGGAAGACTGGATGTTGTTCAAGAAGGAAATCTTAAAAGCACATGAGCAGGCCATCCCCATGTTCTGAAAGACAAGCTGGGGAGCAAAATGATGACACACCCATAGTCTAAGCAATCCAAATGCTTAGTGACTTGCTACACCTCTTAGACACAATCAAGTATATGGGACCAAATGGGATCCACCTGGGGGTACTGAGGGAGCTGGTGGAAATGCTCACCAAGCCACTTCCCATCATTTATCAGCAGTCCTGGCTAACCAGGGAGGTCCCAGTGGACTAGAGGTTAGCAAATGTGATGCCCATCTACAAGAAGGGCTGGAAGGAGGATCCAGGGAACTACAGCCCTGTCAGTCTGACCTCAGTGCCTGGGAGGTTTATCAAACAGATCATCTTCAGTGCCATCACATGACATGTACAGGAGAACTGGGTTATCATGCCCAGTGAGCATGGGTATATGAAAGACAAGTCCTGCTTGACTAAATTGATCTCGTTCTGTGACAAGGTTACCTGCTTTATGAATGAAGGAAAGACAGTGAATGTTGTCTACCTGGACTTCAGTAAAGCCTTTGACACTGTTTCACACAACATTCTCTTGGAGAACTGACTGCTCGTGGCTTAGACCAGGTGTACCTTCGCTGGGTGGAAAACTATCTGAATGGCCAGGCCCAAAGGGTGGTAGTGAGTGAAGTTTATCAATGGTCTGGACGAAGGGGATCAAGTGCACCCTCAGTCATTTTACAGACAACACAAAGCTGGGCAGGAGTGTTGATCTCCTTGAGGGTAGGAAGGCTCTACAGGGGGATCTGGACAGGCTGTCAGTGGGCCAAGGTCACTTGTATGAGGGCAAGCGCCAGGTCCAGCACTTGGGCCACAGCAAGCCCAGGTAATACTACAGGCTTGGGGAAGAGTGACTGGAAAGCTGCTCAGAGGAAACTGATCTGGGGATGTGATCGACAACCAGCTGAAGTGTGCCCAGGTGGCCAAGAAGGCCAATAGCATCCTGGCCTGCATCAGAAGTAGTGTGGCCAGCAAGACTGCAGAAGTGATTGTCCCCCTGTACTTGGCACTGGTGAGGCTGCACCTTTGAATCCTATGTGCAGTTTTGTGCCTCTCACTACAGGAAGGACATTGAGGTGCTGGAGTGTGTCCAGAGAAGAGCAAAGAAGCTGGTGAAGAGTCCAGAGAACAAGTCTTATGAGGATTGGCTGAGGGAGTGGGGTTATTTAGTCTGGAGAAGAGGAGGCTGAGAGGAGACCTTATCACTCTCTACAGCTACCTAAAAGGAGACTGTAGTGATGTGGGTGTTGGTTTCTTCTCCCAAGTAGCAAATGACAGCACAAGAGAAATTGGCCTCCAGTTGCATCAGGAGAGGTTTGGATTGGGTATAAGGAAAAACTTTTTCACTGAAAGGGCTGTTAAGCTCTGAAACAGATTGCCCAGGTAAGTGGTAGAGTCACCATCCCTGAAGGTATTTAAAAGACATGAGGATGGCCTGTGTAATTACATAATTTAGTGGTGGGCTTGGTGGTGTTAGGTTTACAGGTGTGCTTACCATAGAATCATAGAATCGTAGAGTGTGTTGGATTGGAAGAGACTGTTAAGGATCATCTGGTCCTACCCCCCTGTTGTGAGCAGAGAAATCTTTAAATAGATCGGGTTGCTCAGAGCCC